GACCCCACCATACTTTCCTGCCTGTGGCAGGGGGTCAGGCTAGATGATCTGTTCAGGTCCCTCCTGACCCTAGCTACTATGAAACTATGAAAAGAGAAGATCTCCTGGCTTTATTCGTCCTGGGGGAATGTCATGATCCAATACAACATGGAGCCTAGGATGGTTGTGGCCATGGGTGTAAGTGGAGGTCTGACCTCATCAGCAGGGTCCCACCTGCACTTTCCCATGTCATTAGGCACTTGCTGGAGCTGTCATGGGACAGAAGCAGCTATCTGGCCTCTCTCTTCGCAGCAAGTGAGGCTGCCTGCATCCCCACACGGGGCCAGACCCATTTTGGCCAGTAGGGACCCTAGTAAACTGAGGTGCCTCCTTCTGCTCCTATTCAACCCTGCTCAGGGCCCTGACCACAAATGCTTATGCATCTATTTCTGTAGCACACCATCCTCTTCTCCATAAGACTACATCACAGAAACAGTGAGAACTGCATTTGGGAAGCCGGCCTGAAGTCAGGGCTTGTGCAGACTTATCACATGACTTTAACTGATGTGCACCCATGCTCCCCTCTTGGAAAGGGGTGGTGAGGATTTCACTTCCTTTGACATACACCCCCTGACCTATATGTGTTGCCCCCAACCTGCACAGCCACTTACGCATTCAACATCAAAGAAATATGAAAACCGTGAAAGCTTGGACACAAAATAAAAGTGCACGACAGTGCACGACAGTGGCTGGGGCAAGACTGGACTGTGGTAACAAGACTGCCACCAGAAAATCAAACTCCGTTAATGGCTTGTAACCCATTAGGCATTGAGACAGTGGAGTGCTTGCAGTACCCAATACCAGACCCAAGCCATACAATAATAAAAGTGGTTAAAATTGTTGGCAGAGACCTGACGTGTTCATCACATGTGCATACCTCAGAAAGCCCTTTAAAGAAAGGCTGAGCTAGTGAAGGCAAGGAAACCACATATGCATTTCAATTGACCTAGCAGCCAAAGGAAACAAAAGGCTATATATGCATCTCAAAAGAAACCTGTAAAAGGTACACTGAATACAGGGGGGATGTTCTGTATCCGACAGTCTCACATTGCTCAAACCAGGAACCCAATGTCACTCTAAGGTGTTAGAAATGTGCAAGCCATTCACTGCATGTCTGCAGTTTGGTAAATAGACCACCACCAGTACAAGCTCCCCATTGATATACAAGCACCCCAAAACAGGTTTGGTGGTGACACCTCTAAGTATCCTGTCTGACACTCAAAGCCCATCATCTGTGATTGACCCATTATTACAGGGGCCACAGATACAGAGTCTTTACACCTAGACAATCAAGAACAGGAGCCCGGCAATTAACAGTTGTGATATGATAATCAACCTTTTCCTCCCTGTTTTGTTCAGAATTAAATAGCCCAACCATCAAGCAAAATGCCTTGAATAGTATAAAAACTAAGCAGATTTGTCAGCAAGGTGTGCGCAGTCCAGACCAGAAACCATCCTGCCACCCAGCCAACATGTGAAGGACCCAGGCTTTGAGGCTGTACAAAAACTGCTTCCTGCCTGCATTGGGTAAAGATCTCTATGCTGCTAAGATAATACTAAGGGCTAATAGCTTATTTTATATTCAGAAAGAGTCTCATCTGTCATTTAGTTCTGTAACTTGTTGGTGGGTATTAAGCCTTTCTGCCATTCAACCAGTGTTGTGTCAATTCGTAAAGCACTAGGTTAGAAATTTGGTTTCTAAATGCAACAGGTACCTTCAAAATGTTTCAAATAAATTCATATGCCTTCCCTTATTTCTGTAGCCACCACCACCATGCCATATGAGTCCTCCTGCCAAGCAACTGAGGCTTACTCAGAAGTTACAAGTAAATTTTCTTAAACACTGTAACGTAAGGAAAGTGAGGGCTGTTTCATACACAGGGCAGGGGGGCGGGGTGGTCAGCCGAGAAGGAAATTAGAGAGATGAACGAGTGTGCTCCAGGATGGGTTATTAAACTCTTAGAGTAGCCCCTACAGGCACTCATGGAGCCAAATGGCTTTGGTACTAGCAGGGAGGCCTCAGTATTCCCAGTGGGAGATTACAATGTCCTGCATTTCACCCACAGGATACCCTCATCCTTTCCCCACCCTTCCACCGAAGAAGTGGGACCTGTCCCAGACTACATCTCCCTCACCCCTGCTACCCCATATCACACACAAGTGAAACTCTACTTCCCCGACCAGAGGATCCTTCAAAAGTGGGTTTCTGTGGCTGGAGCTGGACTGTTCTCAGTGGTGGCACATGACAAAACAAGGAGCAATGGGCTCCAGTTTCAGCAAGGAAAGTTTAAGTTGCATATTAGGAAAAACAAACACCCTCATGAGGAGCGCTGTAAAGCACTGGAACAGGCTACCCAGAGAGGTGGAGGAATCTCCATCCTCAGAGGTTTTGAGGACCCAGCTAGACAAACCTTTGGCTGGGATAATCCAGTTGGGGACAGTCCTGCTTTGAGCAGGGGCCTGGACTAGATGCAACCTCCTGAGGTCCCTTCCAACCTTCATGGCCTGATTTTATGAAAAGGGCAGGCACATTGCTGCACAGCAGGATGTGGCGCCTCCAGCACCCGAGGGCTAACAACAACCCCTGGATTGTGGTGAATGCTCTGCAAGGGGAAGGGGTTGGGAAATCCCAGACATCTGCCACCGAGAGCATTTTGGGCCCTGGTCTGTTCCCATTTCACAACTCCGACCTGACACAGAGTCCAACCACAGGGATACCATGTTCAGCTCTGGGGCTTAATTAGCAAGGAATTCACTATAGAGAACGGGATGAAGGGGCGGAGGGGGGGGGTGAACCTGGCACCTGGCAGCGCAGAGTTCGGAAGAGGGGCTGAGAAGCAAAACCTGCCAAACTGGACTCAGCAGGTGGCAGCTGAGCTCCTTGCAGACTGCAATGGGCATGTGCAGGCCTAGCAAGAGGCAATGTGGTGGGGAGAAGAGGAGGTCAGGGCAGAGGGCAGGAAATGCTTCCCCAGCCATAGATGTTCTCCTTCCTGCAATTGTGGAGCTTCTCATACCAGAATCCCGGGGCCCAGGATGGAGGAGGAAGGTGGGAGCTGGCCAAGGACAGTCCCTGGGTGTCATTTAAAGCCAGTTGTCTTGGAGAGGCAACCTATTTCAAAAGCACTTCTTCTCCCCCTTGAAGCATAGATCACTTTTAGAGAATGATGGTGAAGAGACAGGCTCCAAAGAGCCTGATGCAGAGAGGTCCCTCACCGGTTCTTCCAGCATCTAGACTGGCCTCTGCCTCAGATATTTCCTCTTAGCCCCTCCCCTCCTCAAACCTTGGGGGCCAGCCTCCGGCTCCTGTGGGTTCTGCAAGGCCCTGGAAGGGCCAAGACTGGGTGAACTCTTGCTGCAGTCCACCAGCACGAGGCTGCTTGCCTCAAGGCAGCCACTGGTGGGCACTGAGCAGGTGGGCCTACCCATACCCTTTCCTGCATTGCTCCCAAATTTATGGATGCTTCTGGGTGTGGATGAACCGATGCTGGGTCAAGTGAGAGAAGCGGGTGAAGCTCTTCCCACACTCTGAGCACCGATGTGGCTTCTCCCCTTTGTGGCTGCATTGGTGTCGGGCCAGGTCAGAGGAGCAAAGGAAGCGCTTCCCACACCCTGAGCACTGATGTGGCTTCTCCACTGTGTGCATGATCTGGTGCTGGATCAGGCCAGAGGATCGGGTGAAGCTCTTCCCACACTCTAAGCACCGATGTGGCTTCTCCCCTGTGTGGATGCGTTGGTGTCGGACCAGGTTGAAGGAGCGGGCAAAGCTCTTTCCACACTCAGAGCACCGATGTGGCTTCTCCCCTGTGTGGCTGCACTGGTGTCGGGCCAGGTCAGAGGAGCAAAGAAAGCGCTTCCCACACCCTGAGCACCGATGTGGCTTCTCCCCTGTGTGCATGATCTGGTGCAGGATCAGGCCAGAAGATCGGGTGAATCTCTTCCCACACTCCGAGCACCGATGTGGCTTCTCCCCTGTGTGGATGCGTTGGTGTCGGACCAGGTTGAAGAAGCGGGTGAAACTCTTCCCACACAGCGAGCACTGATATGACATCACTCCTGTGTGGATGTGCTGGTGATGGGCCAGTTTAGAGGGGGAGATGAAGCTCTTTCCACATTCTGAACACCGATACGGCTTCTCTCCTGTGTGGACAAGCTGGTGTTTGGTCAGATGGGAGGATTGGCGGAATCTCTTCCCACACTGTGAGCACCTATGTGCCTTCTCCCCTGTGTGCGTGAACTGGTGCCGGATCAGGTGGGAGGACCAGGTGAAGCTCTTCCCGCACTTGGCGCACACATGGGGCTTCTTCCCAGTGTGCCTCATCTTGTGTTGAGCCAGGGGTGAGGGGCTATTAAAGGTTTTTCTGACCTCAGGGCAGGGGCGGGCTCTGCCCCTGTGCCTGGCCGTGAGCTCCTGCTTCCCCCTGACACCCTCCCCACTGCTTTCATCCGGATGCAGTGCCTCTTTCCAGGGGCTCTTCAGCTCTCCCAGATCCACTTCTTCTCTGCAGCCAGGGCTCTGTCCGGGCTCTGCCCCTTCTCCACTCTCACACCCACCTAAAGATGGTACCTGGTTCACTGCTTCATTCTCCCTTTCCTTTTGGGGCCTCCCCTGAC